GAGCCATCTCCCTGGCCCCTCACACCCATGATAGCTAAATCTTTTTTTTTTTTTTTCAGAACCAGGGATTGAACTCAGGCTCTTGCGCTTGCCAGGCAAGCGCTTATTCTGCTGAGCTATTTCTCCGGCCCCACTAACTCTTGGAAACAACTCAAATACCCATCAACCTATGAGTGGATAAAGAAGATGTAGGTTTTTTCTTTTATGTAATGCAGTAGTACTGTGCCATAAAGGGCAAGCTTGAGACATTCCTAGCTAAATGGATGTACCTTGAGGCCATACTCAAGTAAGTCAGACACACATGTTCAAATATTGATTGCGTGGTTTCTCTGGTGTAAGAAACCAAAAGTGTAAGTGAGTACCAAACTGTATAATGGGTATTGGGAAATGGGAAGAAAATGTTCAAATGAAAAGTGAAGAGGGGCTGGTGAGATGGTTCAGTGGTCTAAAGCACCTACTTAGAACAAGCTATAACTTAGCAAAAGCACAGGGACCTCGGTTCAATCCCCAGCACCACATGCCAGCCAGCCCCGCCCCCTGGTGGGCTGAACTGGCCACACACACAAAATGAATAAATAAATAAATTAATTAATTAAAAAGTGAAGGGGCTGGGTAGATGGCTCAGTAGAATAAGCGCTTGCCTGGCAAGTGTAAGGGCCTGAGTTCAATCCCTGGTTCTGGGAAAAAAAAAAAGAAAGAAACAAGGGGTGCTGGTGAGATGGCTCAGTGGTCTAAAGCACTTACTTAGAACAAGCTAATCTTAAGCAAAGCACAGGGGCCATGGTTCAATTCCCCAGCACCACATGCCAGCCAGCCCCGCCCCCTGGTGGGCTGAGCTGACCACACACACACAAAATAAATAAATAAATAAATAAATATTTAAAAAAAGTACTGCATTTCCAAGAAAAATGAACCTTAAAAAGAAAAAAAAAAGAAACAAGGGAGGGGGAAAGGAAAGAAGGAGCAAGAAAAAAGTAATAGAAGGAAAAAATGGGAATAAAGCTTTTTTAAGTAAGGAGGGGAAGAAGAGTTGAAGGGAGGGGAAGGGAATGGGAAAAATGATGTGAGTTATGTCATGTGCACATACAAATTTCCTGTGATGAATTTTATCATTATGTATCAATGAAAAAAGCTTTTAAAAATCTCAAGCCATATGTAGGGGCAGACACCTGTAATCCTAGCCTTTGGAAGGCTGATACAGGAGTGTAGGAGTCCCCTCCTAATTCTCGTCTCAGCCCAAGAAGTCTATATTTATAACCCCCAAAATACATTATTGGAATCCCACCAAATTAATTCCAATCTACCACTCCCAGTGCAACCTACAGTGAACACAAAGACACTAAGTCATATGTATGTGTGTGTATATATATATATATATATATAATTATTGGGGAGCCAGGGGCCGGGGAGATAGCTCAGTAGTATAAGTGCTTGCATGGTAAGCACAGGGTCCTGAGTTCAAACCCTGGTACCACAAAAAAAGAAAAGAAAAAAAAATTATTGGGGAGCCAAAGGGCCCTATGTCCAGCCACAAAGATGACTTTGGGGAACAAAGAGACCAACCCAGGTCCACACCTGGGTTTTAGAGTTGTGGCTTGAGGAACAGAACTGTGGGAAGTAGGTGAGTACTGTGACCTGGGCTAGGTAGGTGGCCTGCATTTACCTCTGTCATATGCAGAGACGATGTGCAGAGAAAGTAATTTACATTATACTATTGAGATAGTATCTGTTTTGGGGGGGTCTGATGCTTCTGCTCTGATCTGTAATCTTTCAAGCCCCCAGGAAGTCAGAGCCTCTGGATCCCAGCTGGCAGTGCCATTCTGTCTCCAGCCGGCTCACATTAAAGAGCAGCAGGTTTCGGTTACCAGGGAAACACGCAGGCCACCTTCAAAGACTATCACTAGCACCTGGCTATACCAATATACATTGCTTAAGGGCAACTGAAAGGATAAACAGAAGTCCTAGCCGGCTCTGTGCATATCAATACAGATAAGGAAATAGGGTCAGGCTCAGTTAAAATGGAGACAGTCCCTCTTCTTTCAAGGAGAGCTGCTCAGGTGGTCCTCCACACTGGAGGATTCAGTTTGAGCGCAGCCTAAGCAATTTAGTGAGACCTTGTCTCAAGATAAAGTCATAAAATAAATAAATAAATTTTTTTAAAAAGACAAAGTCATGGCGGCGGATGCCTATAATCTCAGCATTTGGGGCTGAGGCAGGGGGATTAGTATGAGTTTAAGGCCAGCCTGGACTTCACAGCCAGACCCTTTCTAAAAATAAACAAACCTATCATCTGTGAATTTACAGAATTCCTCTTCCAGTATCAGGAGAAACAACACGGAAGCACTCTGATCAAGGAGCTCCCTTCCCAGCAAATCAGGACCAGCAACAGGCTTGTGTTTGTAGTTTGCTGACTTTACATGGCCCTACTCTCCTGAAGCAGCTGGCTGGACAAAACTGTGCTGGCTGGCCTTGTTTTGTTTTTTGTTTTTTTCTTTTTGAGGCAAATTTAAGACGAGCCTGGGCTACAAAATGAGCTCAAGGCCAACCTGAACTACATAGCAAGACCCTGCCTCCCCGAGTGCTGGGATTGCAGGCTTGCGCCACTATGCCCGGCTGTGATGACCTTGGAAAAAGGCAATTCCAATCATCTCTCTGAGACAGTATCCAGCAAGACTGTGATGAGGTATGGCAGAAAGCCACATATGCTCTGAGTCAGTATCCATTGTATGCAGCTGTTTTCCCCATAGCAGCATTCACAGGTCCAGGTGGGGCTCCTGAGGCCGAGCACTTCCCGACAGCCACAAGCCAGGTGGCACCCAGCACTGCACAAAGGATACTGGGTGGAAAGGGAGTGGAGGCACACTCACTAAGCAAAATTCCTGCTTCCTGCTCCTATTCTTTTTAGTTCTGCTGCTGGAATGCTACCATGGAGAGGGGACAGTGACTTGATTGTGTTAGTGATTAAAACTGACACCCTGCCATGTGGGTGAATCCTGCAGGCAAGGAAGGGGGTTTAACAGTGCTGGCCAGGGTGACTAAGCCTCACTACCAAGGGCACTTGGGCTGCTGAACCACAGAGAGTAAAGAGTATTCTGCAATTCAGGAGAACCCTGGGGCATGTCTTAGCAGTCCCATGCCATCACCAAGGTCAATGAAAATCTGCAACATTGGAAGGCCGAGACAGGAGGATTAAAAGTTTGAGCTCAGCCTGGAGAATTTCCCAACTTGCCAATACCTTGTCTTAAAATTTAGAAATGAAATAAAAAGGTTTGGGAATGTAGTTCAGTGTGAGGGGTCTGGGTCCAAGTACATGTACACACACACATCCTTCTACCTCAGCACCACTCCCACTGGGATTACAGGTGTGTGTCACCATGCCTGGTACAAATATTTCCTCTTTATTTTTCTGTGTATGTCTGTGTGTATATAACAAATATCTTTTTTCTTATTTATCGTGTAACATAAAGTATGTTGACTTTGTGTCAGTATTTAAGTATTGTGAATTTCACATGGTAGTAGGCAGAATGGCTTTGTTTTTTTTGTTGTTGTTTTTTTCAGAACCAGGGATTGAACTCAGGCCCTTGTGCTTGCCAGGGAAGTGCTTATTCACTGAGCCATCTCCCCGGCCCCTTAATGGCCTTTTTATTGTCTTTACTTGGATATTAAATATGGTTTAATGAGATGCATATGACTGCCCAGTTGACAAGGGGTGGACTTCGATGTCAATCTTACGCGTCAGGGTGACCAGGACACGTAGTGTACCCTGACTGACATTTCTGGGTGTGTCTAAGACTTTCTCCAGATGTTTTTGGCATTTGAACTGGTGGGTTGAGAAGGAATTGTTTCCCCTATATGACTGTGCCTCACCCACCCAGTGAGGGTCCATTCTGCCTGCCCAGCTGCTTACACTGGGATGGTCTTCTATCCTCCACTAGGGTTTAGGCTCTCTCCCTCTGCTTCTCAGGACTATGCCACCAGCTCTCCTGGGTCTCCATCAGGCACATAGCAGACTGTGAGTGTTCTCAGCCTTCATAATTCCTTATAAGTCCAGGTGTGACAGTACACACCTGTAATCCCAACATTTAGGAGGCTGAGGCAGAAGAATTACCATGAGTTCAAGCCAGCCTGACCTACATATTGAGACCCTGTCTCAAAAAAAAAAAAAAAAAAAGGACCTGTGCTTATTTGTGTGGCAAGGATTCCTTCTTTCCTTGTATGGGGTTGAACTCAGGGCCGCTTGCATTTTTACATATGTGTTTGTCTGAGATAGGGTCTTGCTATGTAGCACAAGCTTGCCTTGAACTCACCAGCAATCCTCCTGCTCAACCCCCACCCTCTCTAGTGTTGGCATCACAGGTGTGTGCCACCATGCCTGGTGCCTCATTCATTTTAGTCAAGCACTCTACTACTGAACTATATCCCCACCCCTTTAATTTTTTAAAGGGTCTTGCTAAGTCACTAAGTTTTCCAGGCTGGGTTTGAGTTTTGTGATCTTCCTTGCTCAATATTACTGGTTTGTTCCATCATGCCCTCATCCTCTTAAATTTTATATTGAGACAGGGTCAAAGTTGTCCAGGCTGGCTTGAATTTGTCATCCTCCAGCCTAAACTTTCAGAGTAGCTGAGAGTACAGGCCTGCACCTCCAGTCTCATATCCTTAACAATGGCCACAGCCCAGAACATTTGGATCGGGATGCCTGGTAGCCCTGGTGTGCCAAGGAGCGAGAATCTCAAACTGTTGTCCCCAGGGAACCAGATGGGTAACCTGAAAGAGCCAAGAGGGACTGAGCTCAGCGTGAAAGCAACAGAAACATCATTTACAGAATCCCAGGTGACCGAGGTGCAGGGCGATGGGGACAGGGAGGAACCTAATCTTACTCCTTTGAGAATTCCAGTCTCACCTTGGGGCCCTGAACCCGCCTTGAGGCGTAGAAGTTTTTGTTTGATCTGGTGGTGCTGGAACGGAACCAGGGCTGGTGCCTGTGGGGCTGTAGTTCCACGAGGAGCCACACCCCCAGCCCCTCAGGCCCAAGGTTTAGGTCAGAGTCCCTGGACGTAACCATCTACCTCTGTCGGTCCCGCCCTCCCTCGCCTGCCCCTTGACCTGCGAGCCCGGAGTCTCATCAGCCCGGAGATCCCAGCACCGCCACTGCCCTGCCATGCTGCGCCAGCTGCCCGCCAGGCTGTGGAGCGGGACTGCGGGGACTCAGGTGAGCGCGGTGAGGGCCTGCAGCGGCCGCGGCTTCCCCCTCCCTCTGCCTCCCTGCTGTGTGGCTCCTTGCTGACTGTCCTCCATTCCTCTGCCCTCCCCAGTCTTCCTCTCTCAAAGACAAGAAGAGGGCAGCAGCGGAGCCCAAAGCAAGGCCCCCATTGGGGCGGGGCTCAGCCGTGGTGGCCGGGGGTGGGGGGTGGGGAGGAGGGGGTGTGTGTGCTGGGAGTGGCTGCTGCCCCCGAGACGGGCCACAGGGAACTACGCAGCTCCCTGTGCAGAGGACGACGGAACAACACAGTGACCTTGAGGTCTGCAAGAGGGCTGAGGGACCCCTGGTAGCCTGAAGAGACCTTGAAGAGGATCCTACGGGTACACCAAATCCTTCCTGAGGAAAGGAGGGCGGCATGTCCCAGACTCTTTCACTCCACCTACCTAGTACAGGGTGGTTGTGAGGAATAAGTCCTTTTTTTGGCGGCGGGGGTTGGAGAGGGTGGGGGGTGCATTTTCTTATTCCTACACAGGGTTTGGTTAAATAGCTAAATTGACTGGGCTGGGCACATACTTGAAACCACGTGGCTCAGCCTCCAGAATGTTGGAGTTCCAGGGCTTACAGTGGCATAATTGCTGTTTTCCTCGTTTGTTAATTTTTCTCTCTCTCTCTCTTTTTTTCTTTTGTTTTTGTTTCTGGGAATTGAACCCAGTCATATAGGAGAATGAAACTCCCAACCTGAAAGATACCTGGAACGAGTTCATGTTCTCTAGAACCAAAGAATAAACTTTAGGAACAAACAGAGGTTAAGAGCAGAATACTGGGGCCGGGGAGATGGCTCAGTGGAATAAGTGCTTCCCTGGCAAGCACAAGGGCCTGAGTTCAATGCCTGGTTCCACCCCCCCCCAAAAAAAAAAAGGGCAGAATACTTACTGGGGGAAAGAAAGCTTCTGTTTGAAAGAGGGACAGAAGAGGGGCCGGAGCCTGTTGCCCAGGGAAGCTCTCTTCCAGGGATTTTTTTTTTTTCAGAACGGGGGATTGAACTCATCTTCCAGGGATTTTTATAGAGTAAAACCATGCGGGTCTAAGGTGGGCACTCACTTAGGTGGGTATAAGGTAGGAGAAAACTATGGTCAACCATTGCTCAGGCAAAATTGATTAAATCCAGGACCAAATGGGGAAGCGAGTCATGTAGCAAGCGGGCACAAGTATAAAACAGCACTTTATCTAGTAGCGGGTAGTGGTTAGATTACTGACTCTTCCTGGCTTCCTCAAGGTGATGATCAATATCATATGCTTATCTTTAGGGAGCATTTGTTCTATCTTTGATCTTTAGGTTTGGCCCATAGCAGGAGCATCCGTCTCTCAGTTATAAGGTATCTTGTCTTCTGTGCAGTCTCCTTGAGGGCCTGACCCTGTCTGACTGCCTATAATATTTCTATCTAAATCAGCTGCCTACAACACCAGGAGCTGACACATGCCTCCACTAGGGCTCTCCCTTGAGCAACATCCTCAGCAATCAGCTTTTTTCCCCCCTTTTCTTTTATGTTTTATTTTTATGGGAGGGGTATCTTTTTGAGACAGGGTCATAGCCCAGGCAGGCTTGAACTGAACTTATGGCAGTCCTGCCCCAGCCTCCTTCTCCATCCTCCTGGCAACCTTCCTCAACCTGCTGGGATTGCAGGCACACCCAGCTTTCTCTTTTTTCCCCTCTCACGTTTTTGAGACTGGGTCTCCTTATGCAGTTCAGGCTGGCCTGGAACTTGCAGTGATCCTCCTGCCTTGGCCTGACTGCTGGGATTATAGTCCTGCGTCACCACACCCATCTAATCTTTTTTGGGGGGGGTGGAGTCAGGAATAAAACTCAGTACCTCATACTTGCCAGGCAGGTGCTGTGTGAAGTCTAATCTTTTCTTAAAAGACAGACTCCTATCCTTATCTCTGAGCCTGCCAAAGGCTGACTCAGCCTCTTGCACACGTTCAGCTCTCAGGAACGCTGGGCTGTAAACCACACTGCTACTGCTTTTTTTTTTTTCTTTGACACAGGGTCTCACCATGTAATCCAGGCTGGTCTTAAATTCACCATGTAGCCCAGGCTGGCGACCCTCCTCAAGTGGCTATATACCCCTAGTTACACACTGGCCTCATCCTGACAGATAAAATCTATCTTGGAATTTGCAAAGATGGGAGTTCCAAATCTTCCACACAGAAAAAAAGAAAAGAAAAGAAAAGAAAAGAAAAGAAAAGAAAAGAAAAGAAAAAAGGGCCGGGGAGATAGCTCAGTAGAATAAGTGCTCACCTGGCAACCGCAGGGCCCTGAGTTCAATCCCTGGTACCGCAAAAAGAAAAAAAAAAAAACCTTCCACACAGCATCTGGGGAGTGAATCTGAGCTGACAGAACCCTAGGCAATGAGAGGAACGGGTGGGATTTGTTCCCCCACACCAGCAAAATGGGGATATGTGCACCCAAAGCAGTGCTTCAGGGCACTACATAGCTGCAAATCAATAGGTCGGAGAAATGTAAAATTTGAAAATCAATGTTATACAGTTCCGCACCAAGAAGCTGGAAAGGAAACAGCAAATTGAATCCTAAGAAAGTAGAAAGCAGGGAATACCAAGAGCAGCTAGGAGCCTGAACTCTACATAGCAAGAGCCTTCTCACAAAACAAATGAAATAGCAGCCAGAGCTGATATTGTCACTCTTTCATAGTGGCCACCCTCACACTGTAGGCTGCACTTCTTTTCCTGCTTTTACTTGGCCCAAACCCATTCTGCAGAACCTGTTCTCTTTTTCTTTTCTTTCTATTTTAGTACAGGGTCTCACTACACAGATTGGACTTGTAGTGATCCTCCTGTTTTCAGCCTCCCAAGAGTTGGGATTATAGGTGCGTGCCACCACCACCCGGTCTCAATCGCCATCTCAGGGTGCCCTGGGGGCGGGGCCAACATAGCAGTCCCAGGGATTGATTGAACCCCTGTCCTGGCATCTGCCTAAGCAGGAGCTTTAGTCCACTGAGCCATTTGGCCAGATCTTCCTTTTTCCTACTTTAAAAAAAAGGCAGCCAGGCATTGTGCAACATGCTTACACTCCCAGCACTTGGGCACTGAGGTAAGAGGATCACTAGCCTGTGTTTCATGAATTCAAGGCCAGTCTGAACTACATAGGGAATCCCTGTCTCAAAAAACCCAAGCAGGGCTGGAGAGATGGCTCAGTGGTCTAAAGCACATACTTGAAACAAGCTTGGCAAAGCACAGGGACCGCGGTTCAATCCTCCAGCACCACATGCCAGCCAGCCCCGCCCCCTGGTGGGCTGAGCTGGCCACACACACACACAATAAATAAATAAATGTAATAAATAAAAATAAATATTTAAAAAAAACAAGCAAACCCCAAAAACATAGCGCAGTTTAGAAGCACATGCCTGTAATCCCAGGGCTCAAGAGGCTGAGGCAGGAGGAAAAACAGAAATTGGTAAAATAGAAACAAACATATATAAAAGAAAAATCAGTGTTGAAGGCTGTTTTTGTTTTGTTGTTCCCAGGGTCTTTGCACTGAGCTACATCCTAACTTTTTTTTTTTTTGAGATAGAGTCTTGCTGTGTACCCCAGGCTGGCCTCAACTCCAAAGTATCCTCCTACCTCAGCCTCCCGAATGCTGGGATTATAGGGCATGTGCCCCCAAACCTGGTTTATGGAGATTTTCTGGCAGCACTTTACTTTCTCCTGGAAATGAGAGAAGGAAATAGAGTACTAGCAAGGGGAGAAGAAGGGAGAACACACGTGTCCAGTGGCATGGTGCTTTCTCCTGACTTTCTGTTTACATTTTAGTCTTGGAGAAACAGCAGTCAGATGCCCTCCCCATGCCTTATCCAGAAACTGGACCATATCGTGATGACAGTGAAGAGCATCGAGGATACAGTCATGTTCTACTCCAAGGTCCTGGGCATGGAGGTGACAACATTCAAGGTAGCTGTTTGTCCTCTGAGGCTGAAAGTGTGCAGATGTAAGGGCTGGGGTGTGGCTCGATGGGGCAGCGGTTGTGTACCATGAGCGAGGCTCTGCAGAAAAGGGAGAGGGGAAAATAGAGTTTATTTTTTTAATATTTTTTATAATTATTTATACATTTATTTATTGTGTGTGTGGCCAGCTCAGCCCACCAGGGGGCGGGACTGGCTGGCATGTGGTGCTGGGGGATCGAACCGCAGTCCCTGTGCTTTGGCAAGCTTGTTCCAAGTAGGTGCTTTAGACCACTGAGCCATCTCTCCAGCCCCATGGGAAATAGAGTTTAACTCCACAAACTAAAACACAGGAAATGTTAAAAAAAAGTGGGATCAAGGGAGCAGATTCCAAACTCTGAATAGAGGACTTGCAGAGAGAAGGGAGAAGGGAAAGTCACATAGAAATAATGCAAAGGAAGCCAGGCATGGTGGTGCATGCCTGTCATTCCAGCACTTCAGAAGCGGAGGCAGGAAGATCACCTCAAGTTCAAGGCCAGCCTGGAATACATAGTGAGGCCCTGTCTCAAAAGCAAAAACAAGATTTCCCAAGTCACATCAGAGTCTGGAAAATAGAAGGACACCTTCAAAATCAAACTAGGGGGCTGGGAAGATAGCTCAGCGATCTAGGCACCTGCCTGGCAAGCACAAGGATCGGAGTTCAGTCTCTGTGCCAGTCCAAGAAACCTGGGTGCACTGTGCTGGCCACCAAAACTGGGCGTGGTGGTACATGCCTGCAATCCCAGCACTGGGGAGACTGAGACAGGAGGTACACTAGGAGTCCGAGCTACATAGCAAGACCCTGTATCAAATAAATAAATAATTTGGTTGCTACAGAGTCTCACTATGCAGCTTGGACTCATAGTGATCCTCCTGTTTTCATCCTCTCTAGTGCTGGGATTACAAGCATGGGCCACCACACCTGGACTCGGCTCAGCATACCCAGGGGTGAGGCCAGCACGGCATGTGGGACCAGGGATTGAACCCGGGCCCCTGCACTTGCCAAAGCAAGTGCTTAGTCAGATTTTTTTTTAAATCAAATTAGGATTCTATGTCCCACCAAACTATTACTCAAAGGCAAGTGTAGATAAAGCATTTTTTTTTCAGAACCAGGGATTGAACTCAGGCCCTTGCACTTGCCAGGGAAGTGCTTATTCCACTGAGCCATCTCCCCGGCCCCAGCATTCTTTTTTTTAAGTGTAGGAACATGTATTAAGACAGAGAGGCAGGATGGGTCCCAAATGGGTTGTCCGCATTCTTTTTTTTCTTTCTCTCTCTTTTTTTTCTTTCTTTTTTTTTTTTTTTTTTTTTTTTTTTTTTTTTTTTTTTTTTTTTTTTTTTTTTTTTTTTTTTTTTGCAGAACCAGGGATTGAACTCAGACCCTTGCGCTTGCCAAGCAAACACTTATTCTACTGAGCCATCTCCCCAGCCCCTCTTTTGTCTTTTTGAGACAGGGTCTCCGTATGCAGTTCCAGCTGGTCCATGAGTCCATTTTGTAGCTCCTGCCTCAGTCTCCCAAGTGCTGGGATTGTATTCATGCACCGCTACACCCCAAAGTAGATAAAGCATTCTTTTTTTGGGGGGAGAGGGAAACCAGGGATTGAACTCAGGCCCTTGTGCTTGCGAGGCAAGTGCTTATTCTACTGAGCCATCTCCCTGGCCCAGATAAAGCATTCTTTTTTTGGGGGGAGAGGGAAACCAGGGATTGAACTCAGGCCCTTGTGCTTGCGAGGCAAGTGCTTATTCTACTGAGCCATCTCCCTGGCCCAGATAAAGCATTCTTTTTTTTTTTTTTCAGATAAAGCATTCTTGAAACACAAAAAGCCTCAGAAATTTGCCTCCTAGGGAATTGTGAGTGCCAATCAGTGGTGGAGCCCTTTCTTAGCCTAGAGAGACCCTGGGTTCTATCTACAATGACAGGAGCAAATACCGAAATAAAATAATGCTTAGGCTGGGAATAAGAAGACGTGGAAGTCAGGAACCATTGGTCCCTGAGAGGAAGACTGTAGCTCTTTAAGAATGATCAGGAAAAAAAAAGGAATGATCAGGGTGGGGGGCCAGGGAGATGGCTCAGTGGAATAAGCACTTCCCTAGCAAGTGCAAGGGTCTGAGTTCAATCCCTGGTTCCTCAAAAAAAAAAAAAGAATGATCAGGGGGCCAGAGATATAATACAATGGCATAAGCACTTGCCTGGCAAGTATAAGGACCTGAGTTTGATTCCTGGTACCAAAAAGAAGCAAAAAATAATGATGCCTCCTTAAACTGCTGTGGTGATGCATGCCTGTAATCCTGGCACTCAGGAGGCTGAAGTAGGAGGATTGTGAGTCAGAGGCCAGCCTGGGCTACAAAGTGAGCTCAAGGCCAGCCTGAACTCTAGTGAGACCCTGTCTTAAAAAGACCAAAAAAAAAAAAAATGGGGCTGGGGAATAGCTCAGTGGTGTAAGTGCCTGCCTGACAAGCGCAAGGACCCGGGTTTAAGCCCCAGTACCACAAGCTGTGCTGGCCCTAGAATCCCAGGCACACTGCAGGCCACCAAATTACACACCTGTTGCACACCTATAATCCCAGTGCAGGGGAGGTTGAGACAAGAGGATCACTACGAGTCCAAGCTGCATAGCAAATCCCTGTACCAAATAAACAAGAGATTTTTTTAAAAAAAAAATAGAATGATCAGTCCAGTTTTATATTTTTTGAGACTGGATTTCACTATGTAGCCCAGGCTGGCTCAAGTTCACAGTAATCCTCCTGCTTCAGCCTCTAGAGTGCTGGGATTACAGGTGCATGCCACTGCACCTGGCATGATCAGACCAGTTTGAGCAGGAGGGAAAAAGGGCCCAGAAAAGAGAGATCCAAGGATTTAAAGAGTTTCCAGAGATGAAATATATCCTGAGAATTTGGAACAGCTCCAGCTTCCTGAGTGGAGAATGCACAGCCCTGGCTTCCTGCCCTGTGCTGCAAAATGAAATGAGATGCTGTGGAGGGAAGAAGAAAACATACAATAAGTTCTACTACAGCATCTGGTGTGGGCAGCACCCACACAGAACGATAATACACTTTCACAGTAACCGATGAAAGCCAAAGAATGCTGACCCAGCACAGCAGACTTCTGGCTGCCTGAGGTGGGGTTGGGGATAGAAAATTAGCAAAGACAAAAAGAGCCAAATCATAGTGTGAGGTGGGCTTCCTCCCCGAGCCCCTGTCCTTGAATTGGAGAGCAATTTCAGGAGCAGGAGAATTGTAACAGCTGCAGAGCAAACAGTGGCCCTGTCACCAGGAAAAGAATGACAGACAAATGAACATCACGCTTCCATTTCTTTATTTCACTTGGCTGTGGGGGAGATAAAGCTTGAGGGTACTCTACCTCTGAGCCACATCTCCAGTCTTTATTTTGTATTTTGGTTTTGGTACAAGGAATCGAACTCAGGACATCGTGCTTGCCAGGCAGGCTCTGTGCTACTGAGCTATATCCCTGGCCCCTATTTTGTAGTTTTAGATAGGGTCTTGCTAGGTTGCCCTGGCAGGACTACAGGACTTGAACTTGTGATCCTCCTGCATCAGCCTCCTTCAGTGCTGGAATCACAGGCTTGTACCACTGTACCAGCTAACATCACTTATTAGAAGCATCAAGCAACGTATTTTTTTTTTGGCAGAACCCCGGGGATTGAACCCAGCAAGTGCTTATTCTACTAAGCTATCTCCCCGTCCCCAAAGCAACATACTTAAAAGACTGTGGGAGAATAATACCAAGTTTGAGTTGTGTGCTGAACCAAAATTATCAGTCAAGTATCAAAGTGAAATACAGTCATTTTCTCATAGTGGGTATGGTATCAGTGATACGAGAGCAATTACAAAAGAAATAACAGATGCTAAGAGGTACAGGAGAGACGAAACATACAGAAGACAGCAAAGCAACAGTATTATCAAAAAAAACAAGCACAATCCCCAGTACTAAAAAGCCAATAATAAACACATTTGCAAGTGGTTGTTTAAAAATAAATTCTAAAGGGGGCCGGGAGATAGCTCAATGGAGTAAGTGCTTGCCTGGCAAGCACAAGGTCCTGAGTTCAATCCCTGATACCACAAAAAAAGAGGGAAAATTTAAAAAATAAAAATAGGCTGGCCATATAGCTCAGCGGACTAAAGCGCTTGCTTAAGCAGAGCACAGTGACCAGGGTTCAATCCCCTGGTGTGCTGTGCTGGCCTTGTCCCCAAGGCTCTCTAAGACAGCGATTGAGACTGGGCATGGTGGCATGCGGCTGTAATCCTAGAGCTTGGGAGGCTGAAAACAGGAGAATCACTATGAGTCTGACCTATGTAGTGAGACCCTGTAGAGCCTGTACTAAATACATTTAAAAAAAATTAAAATAAAATAAAAATTATAAAATAGTCAGAAGAGGACCTTTTGACCATAGGGTTCTGGTGGGAGGGATTAGCTGGGCATGGTGGCGTACCCCTGTAGTCCCAGCACTTGAAGCTGAGGCAAGAGGATTGTTGTTAGAGATCAGCCAGTGCTACAAAGTGAGCTCAAGGCCAGCCTTAACAGCATAGTGAGTCAAAAGGACAAAATAATAATAATAATAATAATAATAATAATAATAATAAATCTTGGGAGGAGTTGTAATATTCATTTTTTAAAAATATTTAGTTTATTTAAGTTTATTTATTTATTGTGTATGTGTGTGTGTGTGTGTGTGTGTGTGGCCAGCTCAGCCCACCAGGGGGCGGGGCTGTGTTGGCATGTGGTGCTGGGGGATCGAACCGGTCCCTGTGCTTTGCTAAGCTTGTTCTAAGTAGGTGCTTTAGACCACTGAGCCATCTCACCAGCCCCAGAGTTGTAATATTCATGAGCTAAACTCACATTTATCATAGATTTCAAAAAGATATCTAAAGTTGCTAAATCACAAAATAGTCTCTAAATCAGCTTGATGGTGCATGACTAATCTGAGCACTAGTGAGGCTGAGGCAGGAGGATCACCATAAATTTCAGGCCAGCCTGAGCTACATAGGAGTTCAAGGCTGGCATGAACTGCATAGTAAGACCCTGTCTCACAAGACAGAAAAGAGAGCCAGGGATATAACTCAGTGGCATAAGCGCCTGCCTGGCAAGCACAAGGTCCTGAGTTTGATCCCTTGTGCCGCACAAAAAAGGAAGTCTCTAGCTGGGTAGAGTGGTACATGCTTTTAATCCCAGCATTCTGGGAAGCTGAGGCAGGAGGGTCACAAGAAGATGCAACTAAGGTAAGTCAGCAAGTTAGGGTGACCTTGTCTAAAAAAAAAATTAAAAAGGGCTAGAGATTATAGATCAGTATAAAGGCCCTGGATTCAGTCTCCAACATTATTATTTTTTTGGTAGAACCGGGGATTGAACTCAGGTCCTTGCATTTGTCAGGGAAGCACTTACTCCACTGAGCCATCTCCCCAGCCCCTTTTTTAATTTTTTTTATT